AGACTCATTTGAATCTTCATTAGATGTATCAGAATAAATTGGTAATCTGAGTGGTTGACGATCCTCTTCGATAAAATGAAGGTATCTTTGCAGTGTTTGTAAATATAACACCCATTTCTTTCTGTCTTCCGTCTTACTATTCATAGTATTTTGCATTTCAATATCTAATCGAAATAAATTACTATTAACCTTATTTTCTTGTTTTAATTTTTCAATCAATCCAGGTTCGATGAGTATCATTTTCTTTGCATTTTCCATGTTAACTGGCTAGTCCACTCACTACCCCACTCAATATTGCACCTAATATTATTGGTAAGAAAGCCCCTCCTTTTTTGTATAATTATATTTTTCTTAGTTTATGTTTACACTTACGCACTAGTTTACGGAGTATATTTTTGTGTTTATTACATTTTTGTTTACCTTGATCTTTAAGAGACTTTTCCTTGTAAAACGTTATGAATACACTCACAAATACAGTTAATTTCTTCTTCATCACACGTTTTAAGTAATGCTCTTTGATATTCTGGTTTAAACGTATGCAAAGCGTTAAGAAATGTTTATGCGTTGTGAGTCGACGATGCATCATTTAGCAATGATTTGGATCGTTTGATTCTTGGTGTATTTAAACTCTTTTGTGGGGACGTAGACTGTACAGAAACCGGGAAAATGGGAAGACATTTATCTTGATACGACAAAAATCATTAGTATTCTGTTTTAAATCTACCTTTAAATATCCATGCGCCTCTAGAGTTGCATCCCTGTAGGCATCTTCAATGAATTTTGGGTTATCTGGTGACACTTGTCGTGCTAAATATCCTATTTGAGTTTTATATCGAGGGTTTTTAAAATATATTATATAACTTGAGTTTAAAGATATGTCTCTTTGCCCTTTACCCTAATGAAATAAATTTTGTGTTAAATAAAATACACTGAGATTCCTGTGATGACTACCTTTTGTAAATATATCTACAATTCTTCCATCGGACTCTCTCATTAGATCATCAATAATAACAAGATGTGGGTTTTCACCATCAAACATATTAAGATTTGGAATTCCTTGATGATAGTTAACATTTGGTAAAGTTATATAAGGGTTTCATTTCATCAAAGCACCATGTGATCTGATTAAAATCACAATTACATATTTCTGTAACTGATTTTACGAAATTTGTTACAAAATTTGACTTCCCACAACCACTTGCTCCTGCAACAATAGCAGTAAACGGATGTATAAAGTGAAACATTACACACGTCTAAAGTTCTAAGAGGTGAAATAAAAAATGAAAGTGTTGGTGTAGGTCAACAATTAATATATATTGTGTACTATAACTAATGTTTTTGGGAAATCAAATAAAATTTATGATTAATTTAAAATTTTATTTTCAAGCAATAACTACTTTTAAACAACCCACACTTCGTCACAAGAACAAATTATGTGATTATTTTTTGCAAATATATGATTATTACACACATAACGTTTGTTTAAATTTATGGACATTTACCAAATCATTGTATTTTGGACATTTGTATTCTTCAATATTAAAAATTCCATCATTCGTCGTCAACATTTTTAAAAATTGTTTTTCTGCTGAACCACCTTTGTATGCGGTCACTTCGTCTTTGCAGAAATTTCTAATGTACCAATTTAATATGGGAATGATGTTCTCTTGTTTGAAGGCACATTTTAATTCTTCGGTCACGTCAAAATATGAAATGCCGTGCACGTGTGTTTCGCAATAACGAACAGTTTTTTTTGTCTTTTGTGCCAAATAATTGTAAGGATAACTTGGCCGAAACAAATAATGATCGATAAACGCATAATTTTTATTAGATAGTTTTACGTCTAGAATAGCCATTTCTTTACATTGAAAATGTTTATGAGGATATGTAATGTAAAATCCGTCCATGTCGATGATGTATTACCTACATTTTGAACCAAAAAGTTAAAAGTATTTACACGTGACTAAAAATATGTTTGTTCCAACAAACTTCACATAACAATGCTTCATTACTTCCCATCTCTTCCTTCTGCTCTTGTCTTCCTGTAATTTAAGTAAACAGAATCACATTCACTAATGATCACAACTAATGACTGTCATTGTTAAAAAAGTATTTTTTAACTTTTTCACTTTCTGCTATTGTCTTTGTATTCAGGGCTAGGAAATGTCCGCCGCGCTGCCTCAATGCGTGTTGGCGAACTTCACATGCCTTCGAAATTTTCTCAGACATACGGGTTTCCTCACGATGTTTTCCTTCACCGTCGAGCACGTGGTAAATCAACACTTAAAATTGCAATTAACAATTAAATTGGTGCGGGCGGGGATCGAACTCAGGTCGCGTACTGTGAAATTTACAGCTTGCGCTAACCATCTGAGCTACCACGGCTTAATCATATACACACACAATATTTAAATATAATTTGTTAACACTAAATCATACACACGTAAGAAAATAACAGAAAAAAAAGTAAGTTTGTCAATAGAATAAACACTTACATCCATGGCCTTTGATGCGTTGAAGTAACACAAATGTAGTATTGATAGATCCACTGAGGTCAAACGACCATACACTAACTCTACGACTGTAGCTGCTCGGTCTTATATAGCACCAGTAAGTAATAATTCTAATCTAAAGAATTTCTGCAGTAAAACTGATAGTAACTTTATGCGTCAACAAGCTTATCTCACATTCTGTTGCATATCTCAACATTCCTTCGTGTTGCGTCGTGTTCAGTGTAACGATGACTCAAATATGATTTGTATATCACAAAAGAAATGCGATTTAATATTTAGAAATCACTATAATTGATCATTCCTATGTTAGTCATTGAGTAGATTGGTACTGTAATAATCTACTAATAGCAGTAATATCATGGATACACTAGATGTACATCTGAAAAAGATTCACCCCTGTCTAGAAAATAATGTTTATGCTGCTAATAGACTGCCCATGTATACCCACGTACCAACGTATATAATATGCAATTTGAATACAGATGATAAACCAGGGTCACATTGGGTAGCTTTATATATCGATACGAATGACGTCGGTCAATATTTTGATTCATATGGACGATCACCTGTACGATATCTAGAGTTTTTAAAAAGGAATTGTAAAAGATGGAACTGGAATGTTGATAGGATTCATAATGAGTGGACTTCAGTTTGTGGCGAATATTACTTAATGTATTTGCTATATAAGTTTCAGGGATGTTCAATGCATTGTTTTACGAGTATATTTACAGGGAACACATTGTACAATGATATTTTAGTGGATGAGACGTTTCGCTCCTATTTTATAGACAATAAGTAATAAGATTTTGTATTTTGTAAATAAAAATTGTAACAAAATTAGGTAATGTGTTTTATTGATGATTCAGATTAGCGTTGTAAATAGGAACAAAGAAGTATAATACAATAGCACTAATAAGCCGACGCATACGCCGAGGAAAAATAGACAATGACGGTATTCAATGAACAATAGATAAATAGATAAGAACAATGGGGCGCTAATGACGGTGGAGGCCCTCACCAGATATCAATTAGATAAAAGTTAATTGATCTGCACATGCATCCTACGCAAAAACGGAGACTACGCAGATTCGTGATCAGAGCATGCCAAAACTTTTTTTTTAGGATCGTGAGGCGACGTACGTTGTACCACTTCTGACTCGGTGAGCCAGAAGTGGTACTACCTATCTACTATTTTGTTATAATTCCCACGCTTGGCAAGCGTGTTGGCAACTGCAATTTTTTATTATGTAGATTTGTTATCACACAAATGCTGGCACCCATCTACTGTTCCAGTTTCACTCTGTCGTCTCTTACGACACCCGCGGGATGATATGAGGTATTATTATTCTTACACCACCACTATAGGGGCTTAATAACCCTATAAATTGACGAAAATTTCACCAATATTCCGACAAAAAAATCGATCAAGTTTTGAATTAACTTTCTTTCTATGGTCATGTACTCGTACTGTTGTACTTTTGCCAGTGTCAAGTACATTAAGAAACTATCCCTTATAATATTTTGTTTCAAAACTTTTTTACAATATGTTGAGGCGTAAAATTATGATCTCATCTCATAGAGCACGTACCGTCGACATGCAATGTACCAACAGCGAAAACCCGCTAATAACGGTATATCGCAATAACGTTATATTATTCGGTAAATTGGAAATTTTCTATTAATGGGGAAATATTTGAAAATAAGTGTACTTGGATAAAGTAAGTACATTAATTGAAAAATAACATTATAACTAGCGACGCGTTCTGGCTTTGCTTGGGTAGGAATAAATGCCATTTATTTATTTTATCAATATTTCCATTTTAATAAAATCTCTAAATTTTTCGGATAAAATTTAGTCTAGGTCACTCTTGGTATTACTTTCTATTCGTTCATAAAGTTTAGTTACCTACAATCGGTCCAACAATTTTGAACATTATTTCGGATAGACAGATAAACCAAATTTAAAAAAATGTTTACTCATGTAAATACAAAAATATTAACAAACAAAATCAACAATTATTATGAAGAAAACTTTCAGAATACGGCGAAGCTCTCAGAACACACAAATTAGCAAGACCGGATTGAATTTGTTTTGTAGTATAAGGCGTTTTGTTGTCATTCCATTGCACCGCCCATTGCATACCAGTTTCTTATATATAATTTCTGTAATTTATGTGTGGTGTGCAATAAAGAATATTATATAAATAAACAAATTGATTCCAATGACAGGTTGAACTTCAGTTCAACCTGTCATTGGAATCAATTTATTTATTTATATATCGCAATGTATTTTTTTTGCTATCTTTACCAGTGGGTGTGAGTAAAGGTAGTGACAGTGTGCGAGTGAGAGGTGAATAGAGGTGACGCCTTTTTCAATCTCATTATTTACCGCATGGATAGTAAACGCCTTAGATACTTTTACTTTTGTCATCTACTTTTCTATTATATGAGATTATTGAGCTTAAAGAATTATTATTTAATACTAACTTATTAATCATCTCCTTAACTTTCACAGCATCTTTGAAATCAACACTTAAAACATCGCCTTTGTAGACCCGATGCAAGTAAGATCGGTATGCCTCTCGCAGTTGAGACTGCTTGTCCACAAACACCACATCGGCTATCATAGTCTTACTCCATGAGTCATTGGAGTTTACGCGTTGCAAAAGTTCACCAAACATTTCATGGTTGTGCCGGTTTGTTAAGATATCTATAAATTAACAAAATATACAAGGATTTGAGATATTTAAAAATATATAGTGTTTTTTACAAAACTAAGATTAAGGATTAAAAAAACTTTACAGATCCTCCAAACTTACGTGTAGTATTCGCGTAAATATATATCAAATCATTTTTTAAAATATACTTAAGTAGGAATCGGAGAATGAAATGATATATTGCGGGTAATATGTCATTTAAATTAGTAGATAGGTTTATTACTTTGGTGTTTCGTTCGTCCAAAACTACCGTTTTCACACAAATTTGTCATTATGATAATATTATCTGCGTGCTGACGCAATTGTACTCAGACGTAGAGTACCTATAGTCCGTTCGTGTTAAGAAAATAGTGAGTCATCGTTGTCCGCCAGCCTGGCCACACACCCCAGCCAATTAAAATGCAAGAAATTAGAAAGTCGAGTTCACAGTGACCAGTTGAAGGTAGGCCTTCGAACAAAACGGTTGCGTATTATAATTATTAATGAAAGTTGCCGAAATCGCCCAACAATATAATAAATATTTAATAGATGAGACTGCCAAAAGTAATGGCATTACAATTCTTCGCCTACCGCCTTACCATTGCAAACTTAATCCAATTGAATTAGTTTGGGCCCAAATAAAAAATTATGTTGGTGCCAATAACTCCACGTTCAAAATAAGTGACATAAAAAAATTATTAGATGACGCAATAGCATTAATAGACGCTAATCGTTGGAAGAAGTGCTGCGACTACGTGATACGCGAAGAAAATACCATGTGGAATTTGGATGTTATCATGGTACTTGCAGAACAAAATTCTTTCATAGTTAATGTAACTATCGATAGTGATTAGTGATTTAAGTAATTTTAAGAAAAATTGTTTCCATTAAACTTAATTAAATGTTTGAAAAAAAAAAGAATTTTTACTCCACTGTGAATACACCTTTACCATGTAGTTGCACTGATGGCTCACTATTTTCTTAACGCGAACGGACTACTTTTTTTTATACTTCTTGTATGAAGGTGTCATTCTAAAGCTTTATACTAAATTCAACAACATATAAATATATTATGTATTTTATCTTTGCTACAAACACCAAAGGATCGCATAGAAAAAGGCTCGCGGAATTCTAATTTTGCAAATAAAGTTAGTACTTCACCGATTTTTAAATGTTTTAATAGGTCTAGGAAAATGTAGCGGAAGCGTACTAGTGTAGTCAATTCATTGTTTCGCTTACCTTCAGAAAACCCAAGCGCCTTGGCGAGTTCGTCATACGACCTCCCTACGCTTCCCAGAAGAGTCATAGCCAGCAGACCTATTGAGTAAGACCCATATGAATATAATAGATATATCTTACGCCTTTTAAAGTCTCCCAGGCATTTATATGCCTTGAGGATAATTCTAGATAGAAGATATCTAGACAAAAAAAAATTATAACTAGAATGCCTACGTTTGTCGCTGAGAACTTTAGTGACTTGTTAGTACCTCTTCCTATTAAAATTAGTATGTTTTGTTAAATGGAACTTTGTATAGATATACTTAAAAGTGAAAAAATAACTTAAAAACACCAAGTGCACCGAATGGCTGTACAAAGTTATTGGTGATGATACACCGTTATAATGTTGCCAGATCCAACTTAAATAAAAATAAAGTAAAATAAAAATTAATGGGACGAAAAAATTCGGACGTAGAAAATACGTTTTTTTACGTGGTAGAGTTAAAAGCTGCAGCTATATTATAGTTGTAGCATGAATGGGTCGGCCCGACCGGGGCACAGAATACCAGCGTAAAATAGCAGTGTAATGCTGCTGTGTTTCGTATGGTGAGTGTAGAGAACCGGAGACCCCTTATACTGGAATCGAGGCATTCCATCTTAGTCCTCAGGGGTGACAATGCATTTGCATTTTGATTCTTAATTGAGGATAAATGTTGATGTCTATAGGCCACAGCATCCACTTACCATCAGGTGGACTGTGTGCTTAATACAAAATCATAGACTTTAATGAGATCAATACTATTTATTTTCCTTACCACTCTATAGTTACTACTTAATATCAAGATAATCAATTATTAAATTTATAGTACATAAAGAAAATTGAAATGCAATTTACAATGTAAACAATCAAGTAGCTCAATAAAATTGTTGATTGTTATTGTGAGTGCTGATTTAAGCAAATGTTCGCCTATGAAAGAAAATATCGTGAGAAAACTGTGTGTTTGTGGAATAAGAATATTACGAAGATTTGAAGTCCCGCCAACGCTCATCAGAGCCATCCGGCGCCCGACCCTCACCGCCTTGTCGCCAGGCGTCCACTCGTAGTCGACAGGTGGACCACGGGTGGAAGCCGCGTTGTCACCAGTGAACCTCGCGTGATCATCGAGTGGACCTCGCGTCGTCAACGAGTGGACCTCGCGTGATCAACGAGTGACTCTTAAATCATACAGTAAATTATACTTTCAAACTTTTTCTATAAGTTTTTCTTTGTTCATTTTAAAAACGAACAGCAATGCGTCCGGCACATTCGCAAGAAAGGCTCGAAATGAAGGGTTGGTAGAGAGCGCCGCATATTATACTCGCGTGAACCGCGCGTTACCAGCTCGCGCTTCACGCGAGGCAAGCATGCCAACAGCGAGCTATCATCGAGTGGTCCACTCGCAGTCCGCGCGTGGACACCTCGCGAGCGAGGTGATCCGGTGATGGTACGGAGTTGATGTAGTGAGCGCAAGGCCATACAAATCCATACGAAGAATAAGAACTGCTCGAGGCGAGGCGGTGAGGGTCGGGTGCCGGGTGGCTCTATTGAGCTGTGACCTTAATTGTTCGATAATTTTTTTAAAGATTTGACTACAGGAGATGGGCCGAATATTCGTTTCATATTCGATATTCGGCAGCTCTACCGAATATTCGTATTCGGCTGAATATTCGGCTAAATCACCGAACATTCGAATTGGCACTTAAAGTGTCCACTGTATTGATATATACGAATTGAGTAATGTCATGTCTTTAGACGACAGTAGCCTAATGGCAGGGCGCGGACCGCGAACTCAAAAAAAGGTCGTGTGTTCGAATCCGCCATTCGACTACTGGCGTGAACCACTTGTAACACAAGCAATTTAAGCGTACCACGAGTCGTTAAGTAGAATATTAGTAATGTTTATAGCATTGTTAATATTCTTTTAATAAAAAAAATATCTTTCATAATTTTACTTTTCAAAGTATATTTTATTTATGGGTTAAATTTACTTGTATAGCATTATGTCTATGAGGTACTGTAGATTTATTTCCAAAAAAGAAAGCTTGATAAAATGTTTTTGGAATTAAACAAATAAAAATTACATTACATTAGTAGGTACATATCAGTTTGCTTTGGTCTTCATTTTCTCTAAAACAAGTCCAAATAGTAGATTTCCTCTCCTGAGACTCATTTTTACGATACAATTATAAATTTTCACCAAAAAATAACAAAACGAAATGCTTTTTTCTCACAAAAATAGTCAAAACATAAGCATGTGCCGGCAGTTTGCTCAGTTCTAGACGATGAGCGAGGGGTAGGGTCCGGCGCTAATCCCGCGCGCTTTTGCGGTAACAAGTTTCGACATAAATTGGTTAGGTACTGAGGTGATCTTGCCGAATAATGTTCGGCCGAACATTCGATTCGGTAAAAGTTTTACCGAACTTTTAGCCGAATATTCGTATTCGGTGAAATCCATGTTCGGCCCATCTCTAATGATTTTAAATTAAACGATCGTAATGTAAACATTGTTATGCTTTTTATCTACGTCCCGATTCTTTCATCCCATTTATTAATTGTCACTATTAGCCGTCACTTTGCGGAAATCCATTATAATAAAAAATAAAAATATAAATTTCTTCGCAACCTTCCGCTAAATAAATACAATGATGTGTCTTACCTGGATTGAAGAGCACCTCCCGCCCTCCCTCAATTGCATGCACTAACTCCGTCACCACTAGTCCCAGCACCAATATTCCAGGTAAGACACACCATCGACGATAATACGACAGGTGTTTCGCTTCTACACGAGGCATCTTCAGGTAATGTAGACTCTACTGCGGCTGACCGCTGAGTGAGCGGCGAGCCAAAACAGCTGCTATTTATACACGCCGACACAATCGCTCCCCACCAAAGTAGCGAGTGACCGCGCCGTGCGATAACAAACCTGCTACTAATTATCATTATTGTTATGATTAATATTTTTAAATACTATTATTATTATTGTTTTATTGATATTATTATAGTTATTTATTATTATTAATTTTAAAATTATTATTAAAGATTATCCTTAAAGATGTTTAACAAAGGTGAATTAGAAACATTTGTTTGTTCATTCAGCAGTGCATAATTACCATTATTACTTTTTAAAATCTCCAACTGCTCCAGCACACACAGCCGCAGCCCCTTATTACAAGTATGTAGAATTTCAAAGGAATGGTCGCTAGCTAGGTTGTGTCCAGTGTCCAAGAAATATTTAGCAAAATGAGATTTATCAGAATTGCAATTTCTGTACGCGGCCAAATGCTCTTTATAGCGCATCCCGAAATTGCGATCAGTCTGAACCACGTAAACACCGTGGTATTTGTCACAAACAAGTTTATAAACACCCGATTTTTGACTAATATTTAACTTATCTTTATTATTACAAATATTCCTAAGCGAATTGTTTCTTTTGAATGCCACGTTAAAGCCGTTTTTCTTAAGAGTATTAGCTATTTTTTTCCGATATGGAGCCTAAGTAGGTCAAACTACCCACATAACAAAGTGTCCGGCGATATGTGGGTAGTTTGACCTACTTAGGACACCAATTTATTACTACATCTTGAAATAGATTTTTTTTCTGCAACGAGGGGAGATTCCAAGTCAAATTCACCCTAGAATCCTCCAGTGCTTCAGCTCCTAAAGTATATTTTTCTTTAGTAACTTTATTTTAAATATTAGTAATGCTATTAACACAACTAATATTCCCTTTAGCCATTCCTGGTAAGCTAAAAACGCTTGTTGAATAAAACTATTTATACACGATTTATACGGATTTTATCGCGTTTAATTAACTTAACTTATTTTTAATTCCCGACGTTTCGGGTGCTTTACAGCATCGTCACGAGGGGGACTGAGATTTTAGAAGTCCCAATTTCATAGTTAGCCCGGCTAGCTTCAGTTTTTGAATATTAATTTTAATTTTTAATTTTAACGAAACGACGTGAATTAAAAATAACTTAAAATAGGTTAATTAATCACAATAAAATCCGTATTATATATATTTATTCAATGTGTCGTGTTCGCGTAAATTTAAGAAATTATTATATGAACCAAAAACGCTTGTGTTAGGAGTGGTTCACGATTCACGACAGTAGTCAAATGACGGATTCGAACCCACGACCTTTTGAGTTTGAGGTAGTAGTCGCCGGCCAGTAGTCTTCCGTCGCTTTAATTGTTACCAATTGTCACTAATTCCTTACTAAATCTTCGTAAAATATGATTCCGTATATCATTTTGGAGGATTCCTACGTGCCCGACGCAATTTTGGAGCACTACGCAAGTTAATGTAACAATTATTTATAAAGTTTTGAGTAATAATAATTTATTATACTCACATGATATACTCGCCGGAGAAATAATTATGTTCTCGTTGGGATATGATTTCATCATTTTTGTTAGTAAATTAAATCCGAATTCGTTGAGGGCATTGACTAGTAAATTTTGTTCATCATGCTTACTACTGAAATCAAAAAAAGTGAGATTGGATTAAGAGAGCATTAAAATTTTTATTAAAAACTAGCGAACCGCACCGGCTTCGCCTGGAAACAGGATTGCCAGGTCTTAAAACCGAAAAGCCGGACAGACCAGCCAGCTTAGCTGACATTTTGGTAATTTTTTTTTAGTTTTAGTATAACACGACAATTTTTAAAATAAAACAAATCTTTTTATCATTTACCAAAAATCTTCTTAAATTCTAATAAAATAACAATAAAATTGAAATAATCACTCTTCTTTATTATTAATCAGTCAATATTCATACCAATATTAATTTCAATAATAGTAATAGTAGGTACGTAAAGTGCATGGAAAATGTAAAAATGGTTAAATTAAAAAAGCCGGACAGGCCGGACACCGTCTAATTTGGCCGCACACGCAACCAAAAAGCCTGCCTGTGTTCGGCTTTATCCGGACGCCTGGCAACGCTATCTAGAAAGGATCTATTAATTTAGATTTATTTAGATGAGAGTGAGTTATTTAGATTTAAGATAATCAAAGAGCATTTAATGTATTAATTAATTTAGACGAGAGTGGGTTATTTAGATTTAAGATAATCAAAGTGCATTTAATGTATTAATTTATTTAGTAGAGAGTGATTTATTTAAATTTAAGATAATTAAAGAGCATTTAATGTATTAATTTATTTAGATGAGAGTGAGTTATTTAGATTTGAGATAATCAAAGAGCATTTAATGTATTAATTTATTTAGATGAGAGTGAGTTATTTAGATTTAAGATAATCAAAGAGCATTTAATGTATTAATTTATTTAGATGAGAGTGAGTTATTTAGATTTAAGATAATCAAAGAGCATTTAATGTATTAATTTATATTAACCGTACCACCTATCGAATTCGATGGAATTGTAAACCCTCACTTTGACAATGTCAAAAATCTTGATATTTATTTCGATAACTCTTTAACTTGGATATGCCAACTGAATGAGGTAAGTAAGTAAGTTCTCTGCGTCGCCTTCGATCATTTCTTCCCATTCCTACAAAAATTATGCTCGCACAGTCTATTCTCCTTCCGATTCTCGACTATGCTGACGCTAGCTATGTAGACATAGCTGAGGACCAGCTAAATAAGCTTTAGAGACTTCAAAACACTACTATTCGGTTCATATTTGGATTGCGCAAATTTGACCATATTTTCCAATTTCGCTCACGTCTCAAGTGGTTACCTTTCCGACTTCGCCGGAATATGTATATTCTTTCTATTCTGTAGTCTATTATTTCACCCTTCTACACCTCCCTATCTAAAGGAGAAGTTTAATTTTGTAGGGCTTCCAGGAGAACCTCTACGCTCTTCAAGAAAATTCATTTTAAGGATACCAACTCACAATACTTCCTTTTTTAATTCGTCTTTTACTGGCTAGTCTATCAAGCTCTGGAATGCCCTACCGTTGCTTAGCACAAACTATTGTTATATTTAAGCGACTACTTAAAGAGCATTACTTGTCTCAGTCATTTGAACACCGTTAGAATAAATTAAGTAATTATATATCTATTGTATTTATCTGCTTTATGGAGGAACTTTGTTATATATGTATATATATATATATATATATATATATATATATATATATATATAATATAAAAAAAAAAATTTTTATTAGGTATTAGTTATTTGTATGTTATTTTATTGCATGTATTGTCTATAAATCGCGTGTATTAATATTATATTATGTATATTTATATTGCACCACCTACCTAGTTTTCACTGTTCTAATCCTTACACCTTTGGTTGCCTGGAAGAGATCGCTATGTAGCGATAAGGCCGCCAAATTGTACTTACATAATATTATAACCTGGTTTTTGTTTTGTTATCTGTATATTTGTTTGTGGTGTACAATAAAAGTATATTCATTCATTTATTCATAATTTATTTAGATGAGACTGAGTTATTTAGATTTAAGATAATCACAGAGCATTTCATGTATTAATTAATTTGGATGAGAGTGAGTTATTTTGATTTAAGGTAGTCAAAATGCATTTAATGTATTAATTTATTTAGATGAGAGTGAGTTATTTAGATTCAAGATAATTAAAGAGCATTTAATGTTATAATTTATTTAGAAGAGAGTGAGTTATTTAGATTTAAAATAATCAAAGAGCATTTAATGTATTAATTAATTTAGATGAGAATGAGTTATGTGGATTTAAGATAATCAAAGAGCATTTAATGTATTGTTACGATCTTAGGGTTCGTGACAATAAAAACTGCCGATTGAATTACCAAAATTAACACTTTAATTCACTTTACTTAAAAGACACTAATAATTAATCACACTAATTCACTTTATTTCGCTCCGAAGCTTCGCTTGTCTCACCAAATTCAATACTGCCCCGATCGCGTCTTGCAACGCCTTTAAGTACACCTTTTTTACCGAAACATCCAGAATATTCAAGTAAATACGAGCGCCAACCGACCAGGCGCAGAAAGTTTGGGTGTGGGGCAGAAGCCACACACTCAACCTAGAAAGAAAGCTTAATTCTTCTGTTCGATACTAGATGGCGCAGTTGGTCGAAAGTCAAGATTGACATTTTCTAGGAAGCCCTCCTCGCTCTGGTCCCCGACACTAGTTGGCGCTAATGCAGGTACCTGACGCCAACTTAGGCGCGCAACACTGCCCCCTCCTAAGATAGCCGAGCATTATCGGCCCCATAATAATACGCCAGGCAATCCACATGGACGATCTTAGGAGTCCCTCTTCCATTCCAGAATCGGCTTAATGTCCGGATCTTCCTGCTGTGCATGTTGTAAGCTGTCCTTCTACAAGTTGCTGAGGTGGTCTGTCCTGAGCATCCTCACGGATACCACTTCCTTACTCTCTTGCCTAGTACAGTGCTGGCAATTTTCAGGACAAGGTCTCCTTGACAATGCATCTGCGCCGCCATGCGATTTCCCGCTGTGGTGTTTAATTACAAAGTCGTATTCCTGCTGCTGGGTGGTGCTGTTAGCCGCACAACCCTCTCGAGATCGATCACCTTCCCTTTTTACAGATCGTTTAGGGCAGCTGGATTGAAGATGGCCCCTTGCCCCACAACCGTAGCACTTTGGGCTGTAATGTTTATTGTGGTCGCGAACCGTAACTGCTGCAACCTCTCTAAAGTGAGGGGAACGATGATCCTGCCGCCGCCAGGCGGTGCCGTTAGCTGCACTACCCTCTCGAGATCGATCAACTTCCCTTCCTACGGTTCACTTAGGGCAGCTGGATCGAAGATGGCCCCTTTTCCTACAGCCATAGCACCTAGGGCTGTATCCTTTATTGCAGTCGCGAACTGTAGCTGCTGCAACCTCCCTGACACGATGGGAATGATGATCCTGCCACACGGCTTCCACCTCCAATGCATGGGGCAAGGCGCCCTTAAGCGTTTCGTGGTGTCTGAGCCTCACAGCAGTTCTGACTTCAAGGTCGCGGACGCCGTCGATGAATGTCTGCACCAGGTTCCCTTCAATGTGCACAGGTACAGACCGGTATGCTTTTCGCACAAGCTTCTCCACCTCAAGAGCCCACTGCTGCAGGTTTTCGTTGATGCGCTGCACGCAATCTTTAAGTTGCGCACGAAAGACGTGTTCCAGGTGAACGTCGCCATATCTCTCCTCCAATGGCTCAAGGAGTTGCTCATAAGTCAGTTCCTCATCGAGAGCTTCCAGAACTGTTAAGGCCTAGTCGCGCAGGCCTATTGTGAGAGCGGTCATGGCCTGACTTTTATTCCAGCCGTTCGCCTTCATAACAACCCCGAACTGGATTTTGTAGGCTGACCTGGAAGAAGTCCCGTCGAACGGTGGCACCTTGAACCCACGTAGGGAAGGTGTAGTAGCTACTATGGGAGCTGTAGGTCCATCCCCAAGTTTGAGTTCTACCAGTGATTTCTTCATGTCAGCCATTACGTTGTCAACCCGATTGTTCACTTGGTAGATTCGGGTTTCATCTTTCTCGATTCGGGTTTCAGCTTTCGCGATTTGAGTTTCAGCTTCCGACAGGCGGTTATCATGCTGAGCGACCCTATCCTACCCCCTTTCACCTCCTTTATCTCCTTCCCGAAGGTAGCGTGAAGGTCTTTCATGAGGAGCATCTGCTCTTCCAACCGACGGGCCTGTTCCTCTTGTCCGCCCCGCAGCTGCTCTTCCAAACGACGGACCTGTTCTTCTTGTCCGCCCCGTAGCTGCTCTTCCAAACGACGGACCTGTTCCTCCTGTCGGCGGGCCTGTTCATCCTGTCCGCCCCGTAGCTGCTCTTCCAAACGACGGACCTGTTCCTCCTGTCGGCGAGCCTGCTCCTGCAGCATCACCATCAGAACACCTAAGTCAGGTGCTGCAGGTGTAGGAGCTGCTGACGGGCCAGCCTTCGTGGCTGGCAGTTGGCGCCCCGACGTCTGCGGCGTTGCACCACCAAATCTTCTCTGGTCCGTCTCCTGCTGGCGTTGACTTCGGGTACGGACACCCTCCGTTTCTTCCTTAGGTAAAATCGGCATGATTTAATCCCACTTCTGACACAAATTAAAACCTAAAACACTAATTCACTTTATTTCGCTCGGAAGCTTCGCTTGTCTCGCCCAATTCAATACTGCCCCGATTGCGTCTTGCAGCGCCTTTAAATTATACACATTTTTCACCGAAACATCCAGAATATTCAAGTAAATACGGGCGCCAACCGACCAGGCGCAGAAAGTTTGAGTCTGGGGGCTTCTAGAAAGCTTAATTCTTCTGTTCGATACTAGATGGCGCTGTTGGTCGAAAGTCAAGATTGACATTTTCTAGGAAGCCCTCCTCGCTCTGGTCCCCGACACTAGATGGCGCTAGTGCCAGGTACCTGACGTTAACTTAGGCGCGCAACATTATTAATTTATTTAGATGAGAGTGAGTTATTTAGATTTAAGATAATCAAAGAGCATTTAATGTATTAATTTATTTAGATGAGAGTGAGTTATTTAGATTTAAGATAATCAAAGAGAATTTTCATAAAAAATCTTCACGTTTTTCGGATTAAATATAGCCCAGATCCACCTGGGACTAGTCTCTATCTGTTCGTAAAGTTTCATTACAATCGCTTCAGCCATTCGAAATAATAAACAGACAGACAATTGTAATAGACAGAAAATATTTTCTTAATGACGTACAAACAACCCACGAGCTAAATAAAAACCGGTTATTTTAATTTTGCAGAGACACTTCAACTTTATTTATATACTTATCTAAACTTTGTCATGATTGTCATGATAAAAATTATCATTTAATCATTCTAAACAACCGCATTAATTCATTATTAAATTTAATCAAAAAATATTCAGTTTTTGAATTACTGATACGATATCGATATCGGGTATAAACCACGGGAAATAATAAATTCCATAATGTAGTCATGTCGTGTCCGAAAAGAAATTCTTTAAAAAAAAACGTAATGCGTAAGATTGCCAAACATTAAGAAGATTTGAATGGAATTAAGATTTGGAAGACTGTATTCTATGGAATAGAATATGTATTAAACATGAAGACGTCATTGCTAAAGCTTATATTCTTGGATTCGCGAGAAAGTAGTATATTTAAAGAAAAATGTGAGTACTTATTAGCTTTCGCACCTTGCGGGTTCCGTATAAACATAATTATGTATACTGACATTGCTCTAACGAAAACGTAAGTTGGATTGAATACAAACTTAAAATTACAGTTAAAAAAAATGTTTCCCTACTTCGGTCACGGTCAATGTTCCCATGCAAATGTTGTTGCATTTTGCAATTTTAAGAGGGAAAATTACTTTATATGACTACAAACTAACGATTTTCAGATCTTTTCCTTTAACTGTGCTGTGAGGCCTTGCTTCTGTCCATAGTTTATGCTTTTAGGTCAAGTGCTTAAGACCGTAGTAGCTATTTATTATTTATTTCAACAAGAGAAAAAGAGAACGTTGACAGATGAACAGTTAAACGGACGAACGGACGGACGTTTTATCAAAAATGTTTCATATTTAAAGTTATATTTTAACAAACTGTATTAATAAAATAATATTACCCAGGTTGCTGTATTTCCATTTCGGTCTGACCAAGATGCATCAAACATATTAAAACCAAAAACAAAATAATTCGCATTGTGTAGTTCTCTGTAAATATAAAAAAATAATGACACAAGGATTAAGCGAAAATTGATACACTATTTAAACTAGCTACCTAAATGATATGTGATAAAAATGCGAATATAGAATATAAACTTAAAATGGGCATCACGTTAATATTTAATTTAAAATAGCAACAGACTTCGGAATAGCAGAAATCTGTGAAAAAGTTTTAAAATAACGTGAATTACAACAAAGTTATATATTAACATACATTAAATACAAAACCGTGGAATGGAACCGTCAAAGCATTCATTTATTCCATAGAAATTTTAAAAGAAGAGAAATTACCAAGAAATCTAGGTGACTAGGTTTTCCTGGTAATTATTCATTAAGGACTTATTATTGACCAGTTTTTCAATAAGGTAATCATCAGATTTCTTCCAACATTAAGTTAATATAAGCAAACGTTGCTCTGTACAAAACTGTGGATTGGAAAACCGTCAAAGCATTCATTTATTCAATAGAAATTTGGTAGAAGAGAAATTATTAGGAAAATCTAGGTGACTAGGTTTTCCTGGTAATTTTTCGTTAAGGACTTAATTACTGACCAGTTATTCGATAAGGTAATCATCAGATTTCTTCCAACTTTAAGTTAATGTACGCAAACGCAAGCAATGAAAGCTCTTTAATTACATCCTATATAATAGCTGCATTAATATTACCGACCCGCTCTGACATCACCCGTATAAAATTTAAGATAATCAAAGACAATTAATTCTACTTATAAATTTTTCGATTTCTCTTAAAAAAATCTTTAATGGACGAAACACACGGTCAGTTCAATTGATCAATTCAAACAAAGACTGTTGATATTTTTTAAAATATCGGATTTTCGATATGTCGATAAATATACTTACTTATATATAAAACTCCGATATTAATATATTTATAATTAAGTAGATCACTCCTGCACTATCCCTATGATAGGGATATAGAACGACGAGTAAATGCAGGGAATAGAGTGAATGGGGCACTACACTCTATTATGAAGAACCAGAATTTATCAAAACAGGCACGTATGGTAATTCATAATGCTGTGTTAGTCCCTACTTTAATGTATGGTAGTGAAAGCTGGGTGTGGCAGAAGAAGCACGAAAGTAAAATAAATGCTGTAGAAATGCGGTCTTTAAGGAATATGCTAGGGTGTAATCTGAATGACAGGGTGAGAAATTGCGTGATAAGAGATAAATGTGGTATGCAAAATGATGTTGTGACCAGGATTAAGAAAGGAATGCTTCGGTGGTTTGGTCATGTAGAAAGAATGAATGAGGAAAGAGTGATAAAGCAAATTTATATGGCAGATGTGAACGGCAGAGTCGGGAAGGGACGCCCTAGACGAAAGTTTATCGACCAAATTGGCGATATTTTGAAAATGGGCCACATTAGAAGTACCCTTAACCGACGAGCATGTATGCGTAGATATATGGATGTAAAGGAGGCGAAAGAGGTACGTCAGGATCGTGCCAAATGGAAGTCCGTAGTCTCTGCCTACCCCTCTGGGTGACAGGCATGAGTGTTTATGTATGTCACTCCTGCACCTGGCATTGCCTTGAACCTTTGCCCTTGCATTTGATCTACTTTTCTACCTGTACAATCGATTCAACCATTCCAAAGAGTAGTTTTGATAGACGGACCGTCAAAACTAATATTTGGACAAAAATTTGAATTTGTTTACTCAAGTTAGCACGGCATACCGATAAGGGAAGTTATCAGCTGAATAAAAGGCATTTATTTCGTTATTACACACCGATGTTTCAATTTTATTTAGTAGTATGTATAGTTTAATTAATAATGATGGACTCGTTATACCGGATAGAAGCATGATGCAATTCAACATTGTTATAGCCTTATTGCATTGTAAACATTCAATGTTAAATACATTAAAACCTACAAAACTTTCAACTCGTTAAGCCTGGTAACCTATTGTGTAATCATTTTCACACACTAGTGTACGTTGGCCAATAAAAAGTACTTAAAAATAATCTAAATGTTAGAAAACATAAAAAAGTTTTTAATACCGAAAAATGAAGATCTTATAATGTCATTTGAATGTACAAATTAACTTTGATATAATCGGCCTACTTAATAAGATTCATAATCAGTTATGTACATCTTTGACCTCATAAGTATAGCATTACGTTACTGATTATTTGTATATAATGTGACTTCTTATTTCTTCTTGTACTCTATTTATTTTGAATTATATAGGTACATAATAAAATCCTTGACTGTGAAATAGTATCGTAGAAAATACAGAACACGTATGCGGAAAATCCCAAATAGGACCTCTTCTCAGTATTAATAATTCAGCAATTATTTGTTTAATTTAATTAAATATTGCTTTAAATTATAAATTACTACTAATAATAATTTGTGATAGTATAATATTACTTATAAGTTATGGTCTGGTGGTAATATACTCAGACGGTGCATGAAACGTGACTCTGGGGACCGATTGATGGAGTAAATCCATATAATCATCATCATCATTACAGCCCTTAACAAGTCCACTGCAGAATAAAGGCCTCCCCCAGGGAATGCCACAAAGCACGCTCCTGACTCAGTGACGATCCAGTAAAATCCATATAAATATATCGAAATGCTTCAGACTAGTGACAAGAACTAGAATTATTGGTTATTGCTAAGGTCGATCGGGCAGATCTTTCCTTATGACCATAGCCAGTTGTAAACGCAAAATACTTAAGATTTATGCAGCTTTAGTATTATGTTTTATTTTATGGTAACATATCATCTAAATCCAATTCCTGATGAAATTTTTGAAGCTAATGTAATACCAAAGTAAAATATACCATATTTTATTATACATACTTAAATTTAAAGTATGATAAATATACATAAGAACGTTCGTTTACTTACCTGTTCTTTCTAACAGTTAACCAAAAATATAAAGAAAATCTGTAATAAAACACATTTAAAAATAATTTAAAACCAAAAAATACTTATGATAATGTTAAATGCACACTGTGTCGACAAAATGACAATTTTAAAAAACACGATCGTCTGAACGAAGTTCTATTGTGCAACTAAATAAACCTTGAGCCCGAGATGGGGACGTATACTATACATATTGTACTCTGTGAGGGGGACATAAGATGACATCTCACACGATTGTGCTTCTCAACGTCTACTTTTAATTCTAAAAACCAACAAGAGCTTTCAACATCCTTATTCATTCAAAATAATCTACAAATGTAAGAGAAAAAAAAACTAGACTTAGCAGAAAATGTTAACACACAATAAATGGTAACACGCGTAAAAAATAAAAAATGAGTACCTCCTACTTTTTGAAGTCGATAAAATATTGCGGTAAAGATTACTTTAGATATAACATCCCTAAACTATGTGGATACTTCCCCCTTCCCCTCCACAGGAGAGAGAATCCAATCAACACACACATCAAAACAGTACAGAACACTGGGGCTCACCGCTTGCGCCGGCGAACGCGAGATAAGAGGCACATGTACATGAGGGTCAACCCCCGTAATATATGGTTCGTTTTTGTTTACAACCCGTTTCCCTCAACTGTTCAAGCCGAGGTTCGGAGCTCCTTCTGAGGCCTGAATCACATGAAGTCCACCCCCTAGCTCAAGGAGCCTCACTCCAAAAGCAGGGGTCGAGGTGCCACGGAACTGAAGTCGACAGAATTGGCGCACTCAATAGCTCGTAAGTTTTGCTTACGATTCGCAACGCCGTTCACATAGCGGTCAGTCACTGCAGTCCACTTCACCTGAGGATGTCTCGTGTAGAGGCGAAACAAGTATCGTATTATCGATGGTGGTATATCTTTCCTAATGTAGTGGTGCTGGGATTGTTCTGGTGAAGGAGATGGTGCACGTAATTGAGGGAGGGTGGGAGGTGTCCTAGTTTGAAGAGCACCTCCCGTCTCACCTCAGGTAACACGCACATCTAAGCTAATAATCTTTTAACATCTTTAATTAAAACTTCCTCGGATGTCGGATACGAAATCGTCTTACCGAATTTATTGTTTGTTGTTTTCTAGTGTTTCCGGAGCGTTTTATTTCTATTAAAGGTACACCATCAAAAATTATTAGAATAATTACGCATAGTAAAACCACAAATGAGTAAAGTGGTATAAACCCGTCTTGAACGAAACACGAATTATCGTGAGGAAACTTCATTTTATTAATGTGCGTGAGACTTGAGTTGAATTTAAAATTATAATTATAACAAGAAAATGTAGCTTTCAGTGCTACCATTACTAGGTCTTTACCCATAATATATGGGAAAACATAATATCTTGTTCTGGGCGATCATTTAAATATGTACAAGTATTTTTTGTTATATGCCAAAGTTTTTTATTTTTAAAATAATGACATGAATTAAATAATTACCGTCACTACTAGTCATAGTCTGTAATTAAACGAAAGAAATGACAATCATTTTAGAACTGTCAATTTTAAATTTCGTTTTGTTTCGGGCACATAGAATCTACACCAGTTAATGTAAAAAAACCTATTACAAAGTTATTTTCTCAGAACTGGCAACATGATTATATTATTTCCTATATAATCGTAAATTTATCAAAATCAAAGAAAGTATTTCGTAAAATAAAAAAAGCATTGGTTGTTTTTTTCACGCTATCTGACAACACCATATCGCAATATTAGAATTTTTGTTTGATGATCGATTTATGTACAGATAATAAATAAAACACGAATAATTTTGAAATGTAATTTGATAACGTTTAATTTTGGTTTCGCTACAAACTGTAACAAATTTAATAAATACTCGCGAGCCATGTTCGACAGACCGTAACCAACAACTAGTTGGTGTAAGTTTGCTTTGTTAGCTTTTAGTACTTTATACGTGGCAGAGCCATACGGTAGCTACATTACGGTTTTAGCACGAATGGGTCGGCTAGACTAGAGAAGGCCACAACCTCACAGAACATTAGCGTAAAATTGCTGCGGTTTCATATGGTGAGTGTTGAGATCCGGTGACCCTTTCAATGTAAATGAGGCATTTCATTTTAGTCCTCATGGGTGACAACGCAACCGCAGGATCAGCATTTTGATTCTTAATCGAGAAAATATGTGGATGCTCATGGGTAACAACATTCACTTACCATCAGAAGGTTAGTGTGTATACTTTTTTCACTCTGATATTCTATAAAAAGTAGTCGACTCACTTTTCATGCGCCTTGGGTTTCTGTGCCTTATTTTTATAAGCAAGGAAGCAGTTACTTATCTCCAAGACCAACCAGGCGAAACTGCTGATATGATGTAACTTAGTTTTCGTCCGATGGGGGACTGGTCCTCACGAGAGAACAATATTCAGATATGATAGATATGGGTGCTACCGGAAAACCGTGGATCATAACTGGCCGGTTTTGAACGTACCCTTGGTATATCAACGAGAACTTAAAAAAACAACTTTCTGTGTTGTGATGTTTCAGTCTAACCTAATGGATCGACCGCAGGTGATTGAAGTCGATGGCTATGAATCCAACGTCTATATTGTTAACCAGGTGTTCCACAGGGTTTTCACCGTGGTCCTGTTTTATATTTCTCCAGTCTCTCAACTGCATCCTGCATAGTAAACGTTCATTGTTTGTAGAACACCTCATGATTCTATACTAATTAATGAAGTTTAAAACAGAATTTGTAGTTGGTGTACATCACTGACCTCTATATTTACAAGTACGCCAGTGGTATACATCGAATGGAATGTGTCATATCACATTTATTTAATTGACATGAGTTACATATAGACATATAGTTTTTTTTTACATTTGACGAACATATTGGTTAGACCATCAAAATAGCTACTCAAATTCTAGGTTTTGCCAAACAAACACTAAAGGTACCTACATTTAATCGTAGTCATCTTCATTCTTCAATATGAATCAAGCCGCAGAATAGGTATTAGTACAAGTAATCAAGCAAAGGAATCAAGAGTATAAGAGGCCTCAGTGTTTGTGTAGTAAGTAGTGGTTTTATATAACAATTAGTTTTGAACAGATTACTTAAGTGATATATAATCTAAATTGTATTATTTGCTAACACTATATTTTCTAAAAGAAATTATAACAGCCTTATACAATTCCTCATGAATCTGGCTATAATAGATAAAAATCGTTTTTCAAATCGGATTGTAGTTCTAGAATAGCGCGGTTAGGTCCTTACCATACAGGCGATTTGGGAGCCAATTCAAAGCGAGGCAAGGTACGCAGCAAGCTCGCTGCGAGTTCGCAAATAGCGCGCCCCGAACCCGATGCGCCAGCTAGCTCGTAACGTGTATTCCGCGTTTTAGACACTATAACAGGATTCTTACGAGGAAACACTGCTGTTAGAAAATGATGAATGACATTTAAATGCATTAAAAGATGTAATTTTGCCTAATGATCTCTTTACTTTTAATTCTTGCATTAAACTGTTGCATTGTACATGTGTAAGATAGAAAAATATTGATGGAAATTGTATTATAAAAACTGTATGTAACATTTTAACGTTAAGGGCCATAAGAAATTGTTGATAGGATAGCTATATTGCTTATGCTATACAATGTAAATGTTTGTTTTATGACCAAATTTGTACTTATGAAATATAGTTGTGTTATTACTTCGGGACCAGCTACAGTTTCCAGTTATAAATCAAGAAAGAATACGAAATTAGGAAAAGTAAAAGTACTGAATACTTCACCAACACTTTTCCAAGGGGCAGTTACGAATAACTGTCGCTTTATTTCACAAGTATCTATGACTGACGTCTGGACCGGGACCATTCACTGGGGCCCATAATCTTAAGTATTCCCACACATACCACGACACCACTTCGTAGCGACAAAATGTGGTCACGTGTGATGTGGCGCTGCAGCATTTTGCAGGTGCGTTGTGATTATGTGACAAAATGTCGATGTGGTCGATATCACTCACGCAGTCCATAATGGCTGCAAAATGTATTATTAATTAATTAATTACATGTAAATTGTATTATTAATTTCCAATACAAAATACGTCCGCCCGTGTTATGGTAAGCGTGGGGCGACCCATAGTCGTCAACTACTTTCTTTTGAGAAAATCGTTAAGGTTCTAAGTCGAACGTCTTATCAGGGGTCACGCCCACCGGATTGATTCCCGAACCCAACGAGGTGTGGTATAGGAAAGAGGCCAGTAACTGGTTGATCACTGTTAAGGGCGTGAGATGAAGAGCAAGACCATCCATTCCAACATCCATTGTTTGGTCTATAATACAATATTTCACTGTTTTTGGGAAAAGAGGGAACATAAATGAAACACTGAAATATCAATCTTTTATAAATATTCGCAAATGTATGTCAAATGTGGTACAATTAAAATGAGAGGAAATATATTTTATCAACTTCATATCAAAAAGGAAAAATCCTTGCAGTGATTTCTACACTTTATCATTATCTTAATTAAAGAACTGTAAAAAATTACATCATAACTATCGTGTATAGGAACTTGAGTCAGTTAGCGATCGGGTGAAAGTAAAAAAAAATTCATAACATTGCGATAAAAAGTTCAGTGCAGACTAAATGTTCACCCTACCTCTAATTATTGACTCACTAAACTGAATCTAAGAGCTTCTTAAAGTAATTACATTTGGACCAAAGTTAATTAAAATTCAAAACAATGATACTGTAGGAAGATCCTTCATCCATGACATCAAGTCTTTGAACTTTTATAAACATGCGATAGAGTGTAGAAAATCTAATTACATATTCACATTCACTGGCACTTAAAACCAATAAAACAAAATGTTTATGGTTTTGTTCAGAATCCCACACAATTTTATTAAAATTGCAAAACAGGAAAATATTTAAAATGATAATATAAAGATGTACATGTTATGTATGTCTATACAAGTTCAATCAGATCTCATAATTTTTTTCAACTTATGAGCATGAAAAAGGTTTCACTTAGTTTATGCACAATATATTTTTTTACAAACTTAAAAATGTGCAGATGAACTAGCCTACTTATTGAAGAATATCATGCTTTTTGTAAGGAGTTTTATTGGTTTTAGTTTTATGTGAAGACCAAAAGCTTTAAATATGAACATACTGATAATTGTCATTTACAAACTAATTAATAAGAAATAACCATTTTAATACTTTAAGACATAAATAATAACACATTTTAAACAATTTAACTTGCTTTCTTTGACTTAAAATCTCCTTATGTTCTAGATATTTTGACTACACTAATAGTATAACCAAGTCCGTTATATTACATTGTTAATAATTATCCTATACAGACGTAATGTAAAAGGCGGTAGGCAGACAACTTCTTAAAAACTATGGACTCAGAAACAGAGTGTGATAAGGAGCTATAAGTGTAGGCATAAGATTCTTATATATCAGAAATACACTGTATTTTGTAACAAATTTATGAACTTTGTAAAATTAAACATTGTACGATAACAAAAACATGACAACTAACGTTGGACAGATAGTACACTTAGAAATTATTTTAAATCTTCATTTCATAGAAATAATTAGATTATTTAATCAATTTATATGGAAATAATCATATGTAGGCATTCTGGCCATTAAAAGTTAAATTGTGTATTACTGACAGATGTTTATGTACAGGATCCTGACATAAGAACAAATGCAAAAAAATAAATAACACAAATCACATCATAGAACTACACAGTCAACATAACATATCCAAGAGAATTAGAGAGATTCGATAGTATTTAATCCTCATTACAAATACCCAAGTAACTCACAAGAATAATAATGATTGACTTAATTATTGCTAAATGTTAAAATTGGAATCTCTGTAAAACAATTGGATTGACAACATCTAATACACATATATATTACTATATCATACATCCACATTAATGACTACATAACCAAAACACACTCTCACACATACTAACACTACCAATATGGTGGCTTCAACTAGCATAAATTAATAATGAATTAATGATCAGTCTTAATAAATTCTTATGATCCTTAAATAGGACCACGGCACTATTTCTCTTTTATACATTGTCCTTCACTCTGTTGCCGAGTCATAACTAAACAAAATTTCAAAACTTACAAAGGAAAATATTAACAAAAGCACTACTGGTTAAATTTTAACAAAATAAATGTCAGCAAGTTGAAGCGAACAATAATTAATTTTACTGTTTACCTAATCATGGACCTGCTATCCATTGGTCTTAAATCTAGTAGAAGTATTGAAAAGTTTTCACGAAATATTAAATTTTAATGTCGATGATCAAATCACCATAAAAACTGTAGATTTGACTATAAATTGTTAATATCAAAGCTAAATTTAAATACAATGGGGCAAAAAATGTGCTCACATATCTATCTGCCCCAGCACATCTAAAACCATGAAGCATATTTTAGCTGCTCAATAGCAAATA